ACAGTATAGAAAATCTTCGTAGTTTAGAACCAAAAATATTTATGTTTATCTATGTACACACTTATATATGAAATATACTAGTTTTGATAATGAGCTCCTTAGAAACGACGTTAATAATCTACCAAAAATGTCATTTTCTCTAAAAATTGGGTTTCAAGAAGAGAAACCTCGACTAAATCCTTGTTTGTTTAGAATCTTTTAGATGATACATTTGCGAACAAACTAATTAAGTTTAAAAGAAGAAGAAACTTAATGATAATATTACGGGATCTTCTCTTTTATGCCTTATGAATTCATACAAATCACCATAATAACAACATAATAAGAAACAAAGACAATGAGCTCGTTTAAATTTTGAGAAAAAAAAAAAAAAAAGCTCGTTTAAATATGGGAAAAAAACCCAAAAATGGGACTCAAAACATGAAGAAACAAAAGAGAAGAAACATCATCATCAAACTCGAAGAAACAAGGCCATTAACTCCGAACGAGAAAGCTCCCGAGTTAGAGGCCGGAGAATAGCTACCCTCCGGTGTGCTAGTAGTGAGAACGACAACAATCCAGTTATCATCAGAACCAATACCAATTCCAGTGAACTTAGAATCATTGAGGTCCTTGGAGTACTGAGACTGTGTGAAATTGGTCAAGACAAGACTTGGATCAAGGTTGGGAACACAAGCTGGCAAAATCGCACCGTCTCTAGTAACGGTAGGGTTGAGGCGGCATTTGGAGAGGAGCTTAGGCAAGTTTGGGAATCCAGGCTGGGTTCCAGGAACTGAGAATGAGCCAGTGGTGTTTGTGCAAGGCTGGTTCTTGAATTGGTCTGCGATTTCGTCTGCAAGACATTCTGCGTTTTCGTTATGTATTAAGGTTGTTAGGTTTAGTCCTGCTCTGTAATTGTTGATGCCTGTACGAAGAACATCTTCTTCATCTGTGGATATCAAAAAAAAACAGAACACACACCAAAAACAAAAGCAATATCTACAAAGTTAGATAAATCTCAATCGGGGGTAATTTAGTAAACAATGTAGTCGCCATTGATAGAGATCTAAGCTTAAATGGAACAGTTTCGACAATTTTAATACCAGATCTAAGTCAAATTCACGATCTACAGAGATCAAGAAACCCAAAATTGAAAAATCAAGAAGATCTTGAGGGAGATGAGAGAGTTACCGGCGGTGTCGGAAAGAACAAGACGATGAAGGGAGAGAAAGACTG